AAAATTCTCTGACAGCACCAGGTGAAATGGTTGAACGGCCATAAAATGGTCGAAGTGTTGAAGCAGGTTGAGCTCTGGCTGTAACACGTCTCCTCGAACTTGACCGGAGATGTTGACGTTCCAAACCCCCATTTTTCCGTGGCAGTCAGTTATTTTGGCGTTCTGGGGTTAAACCCGATTCATTTCGCTCACCCATGAAAGAAGAGTTGTCATCGGTAGCCGGAATGCCCAGCTGCACGACGTACTACTCTGTTTATGATGTAGTGTCGATGATTGACTGCGATGATTTTTAACTCGATGGGGCTTCTTATAACTATTCTTTACTATCTTTGATTGCGGGTGGCTTCAATTTTGTCTTGACGCCACCTAGCAAATCCTACTAAACTAAAGCGCAAAGCTAGCTTATATCAGCAAAACTTTGAGCTCATTTATCGCTATTATTATTAACTTTTTTAAGAAAAAACCTATGCAAAAACCATCTCGGAATCATCAAGAATCAGTATGCAAAATTTTAGCAAAATTAGTTTAGTAGTTTTCGCGGTTAGCGATTACAACGGTTTCAGCGACTTTGCTTTCCATATTAGTGAGATAAAAAATCTTCTAAGACGACCAAGCGTTGGTGATAAGAAACATTACTGTTTTTTAAAAACGCTATCTACGTGATTAGAATGATAAGTAACTTAATGTTATTTAATAACAAATTATAGCTTATGAAGTGTGTGTTTAATTTTATTCATTAAATAACAAGTTATATAGTTATCAAAGTTAGTCTGCAACTGGTCTTAACCATAAGTGTGTGCATGTGTGTGTGCGTGTGTTACATAGATTTCAGAATTATATTTCTTAGAGAATGCCAAAGATTTTTGTGTATAGTCCAAAATAAATAGGCTGGTTTTGTATAATTTAAATTACCAGTTTTTAAGCAAAGAAATAGTAAGCAGAATGCTGTTTAATTTAAGTGGTTGTAATAAGTGTTTCAGTAAAATTAAAAGCACGAATACGAGTATGTTGCTGTTATTGAAATACAAATGTATACAAATTCAAAGTTTTAAAAGCTACGCACCTGTATTATTTTTTAAAATGTACAAAAAACATTTGATAGAAGCGGACCATTTGAGTGCTATATATTGATTAAAAAAGTGTTTTTTTTAAGTAATAAATATTAAGTACATGACATGGAATGTTACACGCTCCTCCTTAACTGATTGCTGCCCTCGAAAATTATAAAAGCGAAAATAGTCGAACCCATGTCAAGTACTTAAAACACGAACACAATTATTATACATATATATATTTCCAGTAGTATAAAATATTAAATTAAAAGAACAAGACTTAAAAATCATGTTTTACATATGAATTAATACAATTGATCAGATGAATCTTTTTTTTTGAGATTTTTTCAATGCAAGTCTTCCGTGTTGAACTCATTGTAGGTGATGTTATGCTGTTATGATTGCAGAGTAGATTGTCATTTGAAAATGGCAGCTTAATGGTCACAATTTCGCTTCGATAAAAATAATGTTTGCACTTGAGTTATGAATAAGGTGATTTCAAGTTGTTGGTCAGTTCTTTTTTTCTTTTTTTCTCTTTCCTTAAGTCGTTATATTGTATGGTGGTGCACTGTAACCGAAGCGTAAGATAAGGTTGGGATATATCTTTGATTTTTTGATTACAGCTTAAATCGGTAGTGTTATGAACCTTGCGTGGATGCTTTGCATTTTACAAAGTATCCTAACGGCGTTAATGTTTTACGCGAAATTTCTGCGGGATCCATAATTCTTCATTGACCTTGTTTCATTGCTCCATTGAAATCAAGTGAGGAAAGGTACTGCAATGTTGCTGTCATGCCTTTATTATATCGTTTTTAATCCTGCGTAAAATTGTGTTGTAACAGAATGAGATTTATTTTTATTGACGTTTTACATGTTTAAAAAGCTTTTTGCGGACTATAAGATATTAATTTTACTGTAGATTTTTGTTACAACTTTACAATGCACTAGTGTTAAACTAAATATTGATGAAGGTCAGTGGTAGGAAATACATCTTCAAAACGTGAAATCTTCCATTGATGGTTTTGCACGTGCATATAATTTGTTTTATGTTTACAAGTGTCATGTAATATAATAAAGAGTAAAATTGTAACGAGTAATATATATAAACTGGTAAAAAAAAGTTTTTTTTAATTTTATTTGATTACAGCACCATACTGATCAGGAAGAAAACTATAAATTTTGAAGCTTTGGAGCTAGTTGGAGAGCTCTTTCCCAACGTCTCTGGGTAAAACGTCGAAGAAGTTGGTGTCTAAAGCCCCTTCTTTATTTGCAGACTCAGTTGTTTTGGTGATCTAAGGTGGAGGGGNATTGTTATGGTTCGATCTTATTATTAATCTAATTTCTAATTAGTCATGTATTATGAACTTATAAACAAATGTAAATTTTTAACAGAACTCACAATAAAGTAACAAGTATCAGTTGATTGTATTGGCAAAATTTGGCTGTTAATTAAAAAAAAAATTGTATGAGAATAAGTCTGTATGTACGAGTGGAGATTTGCAAGTGTTGAGAGAAAGAAATTTTTAATTTTGTCTCATGCGTTATCAAATCGAATTAACTCTCATTAAGGAAGTCTTATTCGTAACAGCGCTTTGCTTTATGTAAATGTTTAATAATTTTTTATCCATTATCTGCTATAAATAATAAGTTGTTATTACATTTATTTATATTGGTGATTTCAAAAGATTCGTTTTAATATTTATCTAGTTTTTTTTCCGAGGTTCTTTTATGGCTTAAACTTTCATACCAATTTCTAAATTCTGATGTCTAGCATGCTTATCATAGTTGTGTTTATTTTTATGTTTATATTTGATGTGTTCATCGTGAGTTTTTTCATGCATGTCTCTTAAACAACGGATCAAATCAATAAGATAATTATTATAAGACTGCATTTGATTTTCGATTGGATATGGATTTGGTGGACGTGCTTTTCTGCCGTATACTAATTCATATGGTGTAAATCCGGTAGTTGTATACAGTGATGTATTGTATTCATGTCTAGCTAAAGGTAAAATTTTGTCCCAGTCTTGTTTAGTTGTAGCTTTTGTTCTTAAAAAGCTTGCAAGCATGGCATGATTACGTTATAGTGAACCGTTAGATTAGGGATGGTTAGGTGTACTGGTCTTAAGGTTAAAACCGAAAACTTGGGCTTAATTTGTTAGTATATTATTTCGAAAAATCTTCCAATTATCGCTGAGCACTATTCTAGGCACTCCATACAATGCTATGAAATGTCTTGCCAGAGTGTTTGCGATTGAGCTCGCTCGGATGTCGGGTATAGCTACTGCAACACAGTATTCTGAAAATAGACATTGTATAGTTTATATATGTTTATTTCTAGATGTTGTTGTTGCTAAGGGTCCTACAGTATCGATGGCTATTTTTAGGAAAACTTCAGCTGGAGTATCAGTTTTTTGTCATCGGTTTTTTTGTTTTCATCAGTGTTAGATTTTGTTCTTGGCAAATATTGCATTTTCGTACGAAATTTTAAATATCTTTCCTCATACCTTCCCAGTAATACAATTCTTGTATTTTTCTATAAGTTTTATTCGTGCCTCTGTGGCCGCCAAAGAGGCTGTTGTGGCAATCTATTAATTACTGTTGTTTCATTTCGTTTGATAAATAAGCACGTTCACTGAAACATACAGTTATTTTAATATTGACATGACTATGTTCTTCATGAATTGCTTTGGGCAATATTTCTCTGAGCAAATTGTCGGTTATTTCACCCTCTCTGGATATTCTCAATATTTCTATACTTTTATTTTCTATTGCTTTAGCTAAAACTGCTAAGCATGAGTGAAGCTCTTGAAGCAATATTTAATTTTTTTCTCTTTCTTTGATAACCAAACATAATACTAGATCATTTTTATAATTGGTTATTATCACGTCACCTACTTGTGGTTACGTTTTATATAACTCTGATTTCGAAATATAATTTAAAACTAATAATAATGTATTTTTAGTAGAATTAAGTGTCAAGTCAGCCAAAATAAACGTTGCAATGTTGTCTTTTGCATGTGTTAAACATTTTCGTGTGCTTAATATTTCGAGGTGATCCATTTCTGTTCCTACCATAGGTTTTATTATAGTGCTTTTCTTACGAGTGGCTTGGTCATCACGTTCGGTATTCCATTGCTAGTCTAACACTTCAAATGTGGCTGTAGGACAAGTAGACGGTGTCAAGTTACTCTGCTTTAGGGTATAATGCCGTTTTATGAATGTGTCTTGCTATTTAGCACTTGAATGACAAGATGTATTGGGTGTGCTACCATGCATTTTTTCTTTATTTCTAGCTTCTACGCTATCTTCTTGTTTAATGGTAGAAACTTTGGGCTCTTTTCCTACACTATCAACATCGTCTCCTATTACCACAGATGCAGCCTTGGAGCGTCTTATACGTGATTTTGATCTTATTGGAAAGCTCCCTTCTTCTATAGACTTTAAAGAGTTGTCGGAATAGTCTAGTGTATTCTTAGATGAAGTTTTTTAACTTTGAAAGTTTGTTTCGGTTAACTCTGGTTCGTTCTTTCCTGTTGTTCATGGTGGTATGTAATAATCCCAATATAAAGATAGATCAGCAAAATTTGTATTTTGCAAACTATTAGTGAAAGGATACTGTTTATCAATATTTTTGATATCAAAAAGTAAAATTAAATAAAATTATCAGTCTCTTGGGAATAAACGCGAGAATACTGGATTTTTCGTAGATTAATAAATCTATTGGTGAAATTCGTCGACGGCACCCAGATGTTATGAGCCGGATGTAAAAAACTCGTTTGCAAATCGTCAACAGCTCTCGGATGTTACGAGCTGGAAGTTTCGAGCTCAGCTACTCCAGGGTGTTGACGGAGCTGCTAGAGTATCTGCGTTGGCCGATGTCGTTGGCCCTTAGTCCACATTCTCTACCGTGGGTCCAGAGTAGTTGTCATTAGCTGCTTGTATAAACTAATTGCCCCAGTTCTGTGGCCCGGCCGCGCTGCCTCCCGTGTGGATCTTGGTCATGATGGGCGAGCATTGGCGCTGAAGTTCTTTGAGCTTGTGCTTAAATTCGTCTTTTTCGGCTAGGGAGTTGTTGTCCAGCCAGCGAATGATGTCTTCGCACAAGCTAAGAACGCTGTTCTTGTCCTTCTGGTTGAGCTTGTCGCCGCAATCCTGCACCGCTTGCTTGACCGTAAACACGTAGCTCTCCAGCTGATTGCGCGCAACGACCTTCTCGCGCTATTCCTGGTCTTGTTCACAGTAGCGTTCCGCGTCGGACAGCATGTGATCGATCTCCTCTTTCGACAAGCGACCCGTGTCGTTGGTGGTGCGGATGTTGTTGCTACGACCGCTAGCCGTGTCCTTGGCGGTAACGTGCAGAATCCCGTTGGAGTCCATGTCGAAAGTGACGTCGATCTTTGGAATGCCACGGGGTGCGGGCACGATGCCGCTCAGTTCGAAACGACCCAGTATGTCGGATTTTACTCCACAACCACTTATTTTATGTCCTCAATATGTTACTTCAGGAGTTAAAAATCCGCATTTATCTAGCTGTAATTTTAAACCAGCATCTGATAGTCTATCAAATACTTTTTATGTTCTTTTAAGGTTCTAGCACATATTATAACATCATCTTAAAATATAAATAGTTCTGTGCCTTGCAATCCCAATAATATATAATCCATAAGTCTTCGGAATGTAGCTGGTGCATTGCATAATCCAAATGGCATACCTGTATACTCCTAATGACCGTATAGAGTACTAAAAGCTGTTTAATGGCGATCTTCTGGAGATACTTCAATTTGATGAAATCCATTAGCTAGGTCAAATACTGAAAAAAGATTTAACTCGCCAATTTTCTATAATATCTGTGTAATATAAGGCAATGGATAAGCATCAGGGATAGTTTTAGCGTTTGATTTTCTGCAATCTATTATGAGACGATGATTCTTTCCTCTGTTGGGTCCTGGCTTTTTGAAAATAATCCACAGTGGACTATTGTATGGGCTAAAAGAAAAACTAATGGTTCCTTCTAGTAATAATTTATCGATTTGTTCTCTAAATTCCTTGTCTAGAGCAGGAGAGTATCTATATTGTTTAGTAAAAACAGGTTTATCATCAATTGTCAGTATATTATGTTGTACATACAATGTACGTGGAGCAGCATTACCTTTGATACAAAATAGATGTGAGTACTCTTTTACTATTTGGTAAAGTTGTTCATAGATTGTCTTATTATGATGATGCCGGCAAAGTATTTCCGTAATATATTTAATTTTTTCCTCTATTGTTATGTTGGAAACATTATCACTAAAATCTGAGTCAGGAAAATTTTCTGAGTCGTCTAGATCAAAAGTTTCGAGATTTTGCGGAGGGATTTTAATTTCTACTGGCTTTTCTCAAGTGTTTACAGCCATCATAAACCAGCAGCCTTTATCGTATGTTACTGCTGCTTCGCCTATGAATGTACTAGGAGTAGTTTTTATCAAGTGCAAGTATGCTTGCCTGTGGCCGTTAGTTTATGTTACAGGAATCTCTATTGGAACTCTCATTCTTACTGGTATTTTATTTACACGATTTTGACCAAAGGTTACTCCTATAGGTTAAAAATACTAAGAAGTTAAATAAGATTCCAAGTTTTTTCATTCATGCCGATATTATCTATAGTGTCGTAAAAATTGTTTTTATTACTTACATACTCTGTCACTGTATCAAGCAATTCAAACCCACGTTCTTCATCGCTTGTTGTTACAATTCTTCCTATAAATGGAATGAGACTTATAGGTCTTCTGTTAAGTATCAAGGCTGTTGTGTCATAACAAAGCCTGGCCCATTCTTTCGCTAGAAATAAATTTCCTAATATTTCTGTCTTACTGACTGGTGTTTTTTGTGCTAAGACTTGAAAAACGTGATTTTTATCAAATATGTTTAACGTTACTGTTCCTCATGTTGTGATATTTTGAGAAGTTAATCTAATAAAAGCAATTTTTGTATCAGTATTTACAATAACATTTGGTAGTAATGATGATATTTTTATGGCATTAGCGTTTGCTCCTGTATCTATGATAAAAGTGTCTTTTCTTTTATGTAATTGTTAAATTTTAAGTCTTACTGTCGTTGCATTGCCATCGTTTCTTGCAACGGATACTCGGGTGCTTGCACAAATTGGTACGTCAGTGGACGCTGATTCAGGTCTTTGCTCGCCGCTGCGTCTGGGCGATGAGCACCGTTAGCTTTTAAAGAATGGCCTGGTTTAGGAGAACTGGGTCTGAAATTTTGCTGATTATTGAAAAAGTTCGACCTTGAGTGAAAGCTTGTGTCGTTTCACGATTTAAGTGGTATCTGGACGTTTTTGCAAGTGCAGGGGTAAGTTCCCATTGGAAAAGTAGACGAGTTGACAAGTACACACTGCAGTAAGCTTGTGTGAAAGGGGCAATTCTAATAGGCTAATCATTGGTTTTGGTGTTGCGTTGGTTGTGTGGAGCCGAAATTTCGATGATTTTCCCACGAGTCGTTCAAAGGTTGATAAGATTGTGTTTCATTTGATTTTCGCAATAATTTTACAGATTGATTAATGGAGTCGTTTCTATATTGAAGAGCTGGGTGTGACACTATTTTTTTATTTGAATTTAAGGTAGTAGGGAAAATTTTTGTGTCATTAAGATAGTAATAGTAAGATACATTATTGTGACTGTATGTGTTGGGATCATTAAATTTTACATAGTATTTATTGGTTTGATTAGGTTAAGCATATAAAAAATGTTCTTGTCTTCCCTACTGGTATACTGATAAATTTTGTCTTGTTATAGGGTGTAGCTGCTGAGCAAGGTACATATGTGAATTCTAATGGTACAAGGTAGCGTGAGTGTAGGGGTAAAGTATTTTTCCAACTTTTTTTGCTTCTAAAGCTACCTGTATATCAACAGCAAAGGTTTTTGGTACGTTTAACATTATATAATCTTTAAATCCATCAGATAACCTTCGCATGAATGCTTCACGGCCAACCTATTCTAGATATAACTTGGAATCAGGCTGTTGATTCTTAGGAATGTTGTTGGAATCGGCCTCTATTGTGGCTGCTCTAGCTCCTTGATTAGTTAGTTGGAAAATTCTCTCGTAAAAATTGCAAACAGTTTCTCCCTGTTTTATTTGAGAATTATTGATGCCAGTGATGTATTGAGCGTAAGTTTTAGAAGGAGCAAAGTATGCCTTTAAATGGTTTATAAGATCGTCGTATGTATTTATTGTTAATCCGTCTAGACAACTTTTTGCTCTACCCTTTAGCCTGGAAATGACTGTTCTTAAAAACCTAGGCTCTTCCACATTTGAGATAAGGGACCTATCATTTTCAACATCTTGCAAGATATCTCTGAGAGGTGTATTTTGACCACTATGTATTGGTATGTGTTAGGCAGCTTGACTTATACGTAAAGCTGAGTTATTTAGGGCTACGTTACGGGATAATTCAAGGAATCCAAGTCATTTTTCGGCATCCCTTACCCTATGGTACTACTTGAGTAACAGTCCCCTTGTGGCTATATCTGCTACCTTGCTTATATCCTCAAGTGTCTGATCCATTATTAAAAAATTTTAGAAATAGATAAAGAAACACAACAAAGAAATAAAGAGAAAAAGTATAAAAGTAACAGTTTTCATTTGGTTTAAGCATACTCTGAGTAAAACCAAATCTTAGTTCCCCGCAAGGTGTGCCAATTTTTTACGTCTGAACTTCTATAAGTGAAGGGCGAAACTCATACATTCGTTCTAATAATAAATAAATTTAATTTTTGTTCGTCAGGAACCAGCCATCAACCCGAAGGCCTTCTTTGCGTTTACTTACAGTATATTTTTCTTCGAAATCGTTGACTCGGCGTTGTGGTGATAGGATTCACTAAGCGATATGTATGGAGTAGTATACGCTGAGCTAGCGTTGACTTACTGCTAAAGTTTATGTCTTGTGTCATACGGCAGTAGCGTATCTTGTTCGTTTTTTTATCTCACATTCTTGTAAAGGTCTTTGTCATACAGGTTGGGGATCCAAACGACCATTCAGAGCTTAACCTAATTGCCCTCAACTGATCCAAGCACAGTTATGGTGCAATAATTTTACAGTAACTGATGGTTAAAACTGCGGATTTCTCATTAAGTTCAAGTTGCTGTCAAAATTGTGTATGATGTTTCTTGTGGATCTACGCAGGTTTCTTGTGGACCTACGCAGTGAAGAATATTGAAATTATTGAGTATTCACATTCTTGGATGTATCACTTTCAATAAATGTTGAAAGATGAGCGTTTTATAAGATTGTTTGAGGTTGCACGCGTAGTTCGAGTTTTGCAGTGGTAGCTTGTTTCAAAAGAAGTAAGTTATATATCACGCGATTGCAGAAGCTGGTATACCGCTTTGTGGTTCGAGATTGCTGAGCTTTTGCTTTTTATAATTTAAAAACGAAACTCTGTGCTTTAAAGTATTAAATACTATGTAAATGACATGAGATGTTACACGTTTACATCGCATAAGCAGCCCTATAAAAAGCACTTGGTTTGCTAATCACAATGCTTGTTCGGCTATGTGTACATTTTATTAGATTATAGTACCTAAAACAGTTGGATTTCGCACCTAGGAAGCAATTAATTTATAAGTTGTACTCAAAAATAGTTGGGTTACTAAATGCCAATACTTGCTTGCTGAAAGTCATATTTTATTAACTACAAAACTACCCTGAAAAACGTATGAATTGCTAATCACCAATGCTTGCTGAACTAAGGGAAGAGTTGGGTATAAAATATTACTAAAAAAAAGTAAGATCACTCATCGCTTATACAAGATCGACCAAAGGTATTTTTGATTTTTAAATAACACAAAAATAGTTAGCTTTTTAATCGATGACGTTTGCTTACCAAACCAAAAACTTTCAGAATTATCAATCCTCAAAACTAGTTAAGTTGTTGATTAACAATACTTTTTCGCCAAAAAAAAATATCTTATCTGTTAATAATACTAAAATCTGTTAAGTTTCTAATCTCTGGTGCTTACTTGCCTAAGACCGTATTATATTTATCAATAATACTCGATGACTGCTGTGTTCCTAATTTCCAACGCTTGCTCCCCTAACAGCAAATCTTATTAATTTATAATATTAAAATCTGTTGGATTTCATTATAGGAGAGGTTTACTCGCTTAAAAGCATATTTTATCTATTAATAATACTAAAACCTGTTGAATTTCTCATTACTAATGCTTACTTGCTTCATAGCAAATTTTATGTATGATTACAAACAAAACTGTTGGGTTTTAACCACCAGTTCTTGCTAGCCTAAGGGCACATATTAATAATCCATACCCTGAAAAACTGTGAGGATTCTAATTTTTGAAGTTTGCTCACCTAAAGGCATTCAGAGAAGCTTTCCATTGTTAAAAAGCACTGAAAGGTATGTTCTGTCATCGAAAAGCTCTCTGAGAAGTTTTCAATCGTCATGATGCACTCGGAGGAACTCTCACTCGTCGAAAAGCGATCACAGGAGCTCTTGATCATTGAGAAACACTCCGAGAAGTTCTTGATCATGGAGAAGCAATCGAAATAGTTCTTGAACGTCGAAAAGTACTTGGAGGAGTTATGAATTATGAAGATGCAATCAGACGTGTTCTCAATTGTCGAGAAGTGCTTGAAAAGTTTTTAATCGTCGAAAAGAACACGGAGAAGTTTTCAATCGTCGAGAAGCACTCGGAGGAGTTCTTGATCGCCGAGAAGCAATCGCAGGAGTACTCAATCGTCGAGGAGCACTCTGAGAAGTTTTTAATTGTCAAGATGAGTGAGGAGAAATTTTCTATCGTCGAGAAGTACTCGGAGAAGTTCTCCATTATCAATTAGTACGCGGATAAGTTTTCGAACGTTGAAAAACTCTTGAAGGAGTTATCAATTGTCAAAAAGTAGTCAGAGGAGTTCTCAATCGTCAAGAAGTGCTCGGAGAAGTTTTCGGTCGTCGGGAAGCGATCACAGGAGTTCTCGGTCGTCGAGAAGCACTCTGAAAAGTGTTTAATTGTCAAGACAAGCGAGGAAAAGTTTTAGATCATTGAGAAGTACTCGGAGGAGCTCTTCATAGTCAAGAAGTACTCGGAGCAGTTCTCACGCGTCGAGAAGCGCTCTGAAGAGTTTTTGATTATTAAGAAGCTCTTCGAGGAGTTCTTGTCATTGAAAAGCTCTCTGAGAAGTTTTAAATAGTCAAGAAGCCCTCAGAAGAGTTCCTGATCGTCAAGAAAAGATCGGAGGAGTTCTTGATCGTTAAGAAGCACTCTGAGAAGTTTTTCATTGTCAAAAAGAATTAGGAGAAGTTTTGATCGTTGAGAAGTACTTGAAGGAGTTCTCCATAGTCGAGGAGCACTTGGAGTAGTTCTTGATCGTTGAGAAGCGCTCGGAATAGTTCTTGATTATCGAGAAGCTCTCGGAAGAGTTCTTAAATACTGAAAAGCACTTAAAGGAGTTGTCAATTGTCAAGGAGATATTAGACGTGTTCCTAATCGTTGTGAAAGAGAAAAATACAAAAGATTTCCATTGGTGGCTGCAATCAGATAGAAATTATCACCATTAACGATCGACAACTGATATTAATAAGCAAAACTTTGTTAGTTTTAATATATTTCATAAAGATAAAGAATAAAATAAAAAAAATTAAAAAGAACCCATAATGCCTCAAAACAGAGAGATATAAAAAAAAAAATATTGAATAAAAACTGAAAGTAGTTTTATAGTATAATATAGACATTTTTTTCATAATCTTTAAGGGTAAGCAACAAGTTCACTAACCCAAGGATCATTCTTTGGACTATCAAGCTTGCCAGTATGCCTATTCTCATAGGTTTATTCATGCGCTCTATCAGCTCGGAGTTTGGCAAGCGTGGCAAGACAACCCCGTTCTCAGTGGCTCATAAGATCTCCACTAAACGTATGGAA